TGAGGGTTCCACACCTCTTGAGGGTTCCACACCTCTTGAGGGTTCCACACCTCCTGAGGGTTCCACACCTCTTGAGGGTTCCACACCTCTTGAGGGTTCCACGCCTCCTGAGGGTTCTACACCCACTGCAGTCCTTGTGGAAGCTCTGCCCACTGCAGTCCCTGTGGAAGCTACACACATTGCCATCCCTATGGAGGCTGTACCCACTACAGTCCCTGTAGAGGCTACGTCCACTACAATCCCTGTGAAGGCTGCACCCACTGCAGCCCCTGTGGAGGCTACGCCCACAGTGGGCATATGTGTCTTTCTGTGGTCCAACAATGACTGCCTGTTGGACCATATAGAGATAAATCGTCTCAAATGACTGCCTGTTTTGACCACATAAAGACAAACTGTCACAAATGACTGTCTCTTGGACCACATGGAGACAAACTGTCTCAAATGACCACCTGTTGGACGACCTGACGACAAACTGTCTCAAATGACTGCTTGTTGGACCATATACAGACAACCTGTCTCAAAAACATGCATGTTAGGCTGCCTTAAGGCCCAGGCCTCCCTTGCAAAAAAGATTTGTGATCTCAATGGAATTTGCCTGGACAAATGACCACCTCTTGGACCACATAGAGACAAACTGTCTCAAATGACCGTCTGTTGGACCACATAAAGAAAATAAGAAGCAGAGACACGTCTTCATTACGTCCTGCAGCATCGTCATGTAGTCTGATTACTCTGATGTTCAAGGTTCTTTAGATGTGGTTGGCAGGCCGCAGACTGATGAAGTCTTCCAAATGGAAGATGAAACGTTTCTCCCTTAAAGAAACTTGTCCAGATGACATGATTTAACCTTTTTTTGTTGTTTATTGTCATTCACATCACATGTGGTACATGAGGTGAGATGAAATTGTGTACTCAAGGTCCTAGTAACACCCAAAATAGCATATATTAATATATAATAAAAAAGAAACAGTATACAAGAATCCAAGGATATCAGGATGTCAAGTCAAACTGAACTTACAACCTCTACCTAAGGCAGGCCCCTCTTTCTGGTGGTGTTCTGTGGAACAGGTATGAGCAGTAAATATCTAACCTGTTGTAGACAGCTCTTTGATCAGCCTCAGTTTGGAGGAGTAGAGTTTATGTCTGACAGGACAGATGATCATCTTGTTTAGGTTCCTGTGAATGCTGTCAGTGTGAGTTACGTGTTTGTTTTAATAGAGTTCTTTGGTTATTTGCAGCCCCTCAGAAAGCATAAATCCTCAATTAACACAAAAAAACATGATTGAAAAAAGAAAATGACTGTGGTTTTACATTTTCAACATTCCTTTTTAGGGGTTAAAAACAGCGTACACTGCACTACATTTGGACACAAATTTGATTAAAAAATGTAAGAAAATATATATTTTTTCTGCTTTCACTTCACAGTCAACCTTTTTGATATCTGTGCAGAAATCCAGATGGGAGGAAAAATTAGGTCTAGCAGATGCATTGGGTCATCATCTTTTGTTGCAAACGAGCACTTTGTTAACGGAGAGTGGCCGCTGCAGGGCAGCCTTTCAGCTTGGCTTTAAATAGTCCAGGTCCTGCAACATTCACACCGTGCTGACCGAGAGCAAAAAGAAACAGAAATGACTCTGAAACTCAGCGCCTGATAGGATCCAGTCATCGTACAATCCTTTTTCAACGTCCATCTGTTTCATGTGGTCATGTTAGTGTCCAGCAGCTCCTCTCCTCTGTTCCTGCTGAAATGAATTTTTTTATTATCTGATGCAGCATTGTCTGCCATGCTGGGAACAGACGCGGTCCATTTGTGCTGTGAACTGTCCTCATTTAAAGCCCTTGGTTATAAGTCAGAGAGCCCTCGGCTTTGTCTTCACCCGGTGAACAGAGCCAAGGCTGCAACAGAACTGGGCCGGGCTGATAACAGACTCAGTACACATGATGTGCTGCTGTGTTTCTGTCTCAAGGAGCATAAACTTTATGTTTTGTGGAGTTCCTCTGTGCTGAAGCATGTGGCCAGTCATTTTATGGACTTCATATTATTCATTATTCTAATTATATATTATTCATTTTATGGCTCTTCCTCTATGTACATGTTCTCTTTATTTTTTCCTCTTTGCCATTTTAGTTCTGGCTTTTGTTTCTGACTCTGAGCTACACAAATAATTAAAAGTTGGACATTTTTTCACCCCTTGGTAATCTATTTGATATTTTTAATAAAGAATATTAATTTTTGTGTATTTCTTTGTAGAGGACATCGAGAGATTGTAAACATCTTTCACACATCAGATCAGGTTTTGGATTGTAGGTCAATTCACTAAATAAAGAGTCACAATAGTCAAAATTTGTATTCTCAATTTAAATTTTAGAGGATTGGACCTTGGGCAGCACGGTGACACAGTTGGTAGAGCTGTCGCCTCTCATTGAGAAGGCTGCTGGTTCAAATTCTAGCCGGGGGCCTTTCTGGGTGGAGTTTGCATGTTCTCTCCGTGCTGCGTGGGTTTTCTCTGGGTACTCCAGTTTCCACCCACAGACCAAAAACATGCATGTTAGACTGACTGGTAATTCTAAATTGTCTCTGGGTGTGAGTGAGAGAGTGAATGGTTGTTTGTCTCATGTGTCCCTGTGATGGACTGGAGACCTGTCCAGGGTGTCCCTGTGATGGACTGGAGATTTGTCTAGGGTTTCTCCCACCTCTCGCAAAATGATGGGCACCAGTGACCCCCGTGACCCAGAAAGGGCTGAAGCGGGCAAAGGAAATGGATGGCTCTTAGGATTCTGTTTCTGCTCTTTGCAGATGATGTGGTCCTGTTGGTGTGATCGTGCCGTGATCTCCAGCTCTCTTTGGAGCAATTTGCAGCCGAGTGTGAAGCTGCTGGGATGAGAATAGATCACCTCCAAATCTGAGGCCATGGTCCTCAGTCAGAAAAGTGGGTGCTGCCATTTCCTGGTTGGGAATGAGGTTCTGCCTCAAGTGGAGGAGTTCAAGTATCTCGGGGTTCTGTTTATGAGTCAGGGAAGAATGGAGCGTGAGACTGACAGACGAATGGTGCAGTGTCTGCAGTATTGTGGACTCTGTGCTGGTCCAGTGTGATGAAGAGGGAGCTGAGCTGCAATGAGAAGTTCACTGTTTACCGGTCAATCTATGTTCCTATCCTCACCTATGGTCACAAATTCTGGGATGTGACCGAAAGGATGAGATCGTGGACACAGGCGGTTGAAATGAGTTTCCTCTGCAGGGTAGCTGGACTCTCCCTTAGAGACAGGGTAAGAAGTTCATTTATTCAGGAGAGACTCTGAGTAGAACCTCTGCTCCTCCACATCGAGAGGAAGAAAGGAACTAGTTGAGGGGGTTCAGACATCTGGTAAGGATGCCCAGTCTGTCTATTTGATGAAATAAAGGAAATCTTCATGTCCCATCATGTTTAAGTGACTCTCGTGTTAACTGCTCCAAATAGACCTCCTTTGAGCATCCATTTGTTTGTGACGTGAAGGGAAGCGGAGCGTCTGGCTGAAAGATAACAGAAGATATAAGAAGAAGATTTCACCAGCAATCCCTGAACAGGACATGTGTTTGTGTTGCTCTCCATGTCAACATAGCGTGCTTTAGCATCTTATGTTATTTGATGTTTTTATATTTAAATAAAAGCTCGATCAAAACACAGTCTGGCCCCCACCATTGTAAAAGTTTAGCAGGCTGCTGGGCCAATAAGAACCTTTAAAATAAATCAAACTATGTCCAAAAACAAAAACTCTGTTAAACAACTGATTCCTTTAACATTTTCAACAAAAGTTAAAGACAAAGTTGGACTTAATTACCCCTGATAATTCTGATGCTTTAAAATCTGCAAAACTTTTGTTGTGCTTTCCTCAAATGAACGTCAGTAAAACATCGCCTGACTCAGTTTTAGCTAACAACGGTAAGACATCACCTAACCGCAGGCAACAATGTCACAGAATGTGCAGCGCTGAAAGTACGTGTTGGGAACAACCCTCAGCTACTACCACAACAGATTTTAGCTTCATATCTGTACAATAGACTACCTGGAGGCCATGTTGAAATTAGCTGTAGATCTAAGTTCACTGATTCATTTGTATAAGTTGGTTATGAGATATTTTGCTAACAGACAGAAAAATAGACAGTCAAAAACAGCCTTCCTGTTAGTCTTAAAAGATCAGACTAACGTGCAGCATAAAAAAAGTCAAACATGTCCTTCATTGTCCACTCTTCTTCTCTTCACATCTCTGCAGTATCGCTCCTGCAACAATTATGGATTATATCACACGAGTCCAACTCAGCCCAGCCTGGTCCGCCCCGTTGTGCTCTGGACACAACAAGACGTTTGCAAATGGCTGAAGAAACACTGTCCACACAACTACCTGACCTACATGGAGGTGTTCTCCCAGCACGCCATCACAGGTTGCCCTGCGTGGTTATTGAGCACATGGTCAGTTTCCCGTGCGGACCACATGACGTTTACTACTGATCCCTGTGCTGTCGCTCCTCAGGCCGGGCTCTGCTGCGTCTGAACGGAGAGAAGCTGGAGAGGATGGGCTTGGTGCAAGAGACGCTTCGACAGGAGCTGCTGCAACAGGTGCTGCAGCTGCAGGTGCAGGAGGAGGGCCGCAACCTTCAGCTCCTCAGCAGAGGTGAGACTTTAGCTTTAGTTGGTCAAGACTTCAGCTGTTTTCATGTCCCAGGTTTGAGGTGCAAGTGGGAAAGCAGGTGTTTGCAGTGGGACTGTAGAATAAAATTGAATTTAGCCTTTAGATTTTTTTATTCTAAAACATTCATAAAAACAATATATTGACAAAAAAAAAAAGATTTAAAACATTGTTCCATTCCTTCCATTTCATGAGCTCATGGCCCTCAGTTTGTCTCACCTCCTAAATGTGCTGCAGCTCTGAATAATAAAAAAATCTATTATAATTATTATTTTTCACAATCCAGCAGCCAGATCTGCAGCCTTTACTCCTTTACTCTTACAGAGGTGCCAGCTTCCCAGTCAACTCTGTTAGCTGCTGCGTGAATGTAGCAGGTAAACCTGCAGTTTGTCCTGCAGCTCTGATGCTTTCTGCTGAGCTGTATTTGGTGCTGGTGCATGAAAGTAAAACAGATCCCTGAGGCGTCTCATCTGCCATTCTCACCATACCAAGACTAAAATGTTGCATTTTCCACTTTGTTCTTCTTGCATGGCTCCTCTCCTCAGTAAGAGGCCAGTTCATTAATGCAGTTTACAGTTAACTTGTTTTAATAGTGTGCACAGTTTAATTATCAGCGTTTATGTGACATACAGTTTGTGGTGTTGAATAAATAAATAAAAATTAAACCTGATGTCTTCAATTTCAACTTTAATAACGCAACATGTTCCGCATCGTTTAAATTACATAACTTGAACATAATGTCCAGATAACTTCATTTAGCACCAGGTTTCCTTCTCTATTATGAAAATGTTCTGTTTGGTATCCTAGATTTCTAGACGAAAGACTCCTCCAACGTATTTATTATCGATCTGATCTTGTTTCTTGCCAAGTTCCATATCCATAAAAGTAAAATAACGCATAGGAAACCTTTTTTTGATCTCTTTGTAATGAATGTAAAACTGTATCTTGACTCAATCTCAGACTCGAATAACAAAAAGGCTATAAAAACAAAAAGTATCTGTAATGAATACAACTTAACTTTGTAACTCGCATTTATTTATCTTTGTATTTTTTATTTTAATTTTATTATTGTTTGCTTCCTTTTTTCTTCCTTTTTTGATATGTTCAATGCTATTTAGTTTGTATTTTTTAGATTCTTGTATTTGAAGTAAAATTTTAAATAAAGATTTGGGGAAAAAAACTTAATTTAGCTCAGAGACCTTCATTATATTTCTCACGCTAACAAAAATACTGTTTATTATTATTAAACTTATTATTTAGTCCATTTAAGTATGTTAAAGTGCAGCGCGACGTGTGCGCCTGCCTCGACAGGCTCGTTCTATAAACAGTGATATTGGAACTGGATCCGACTGTGTCTCTTCCAACACAGATGTTGGTCACAGCAGATAGATTCTGACGTAGATTAACTAAGAGATTAAAAAATATATTCCATCAGTCGTAGTTCTGAAAGCAGTGTGTCCGCCACCATGTTGATAGAAATATGCCGTCTGTCCACGCGTGCGTGTGCGCATGTGATTTAACACAAAGCCTCAGCGGGAGATGTTTATGTTATCAGTGGGTGGTCAGCCGAAAACCTCCACTCTGGAAGGTGGGTTCAGAAACCTTCAGATTCAAAGAGGGGGGGTACTGGTGTCGTGTAAATGAACAGCAGAACCGCAGAGAGAAAGGAGCGGATTCACTCAAAATACGTGCCGTGTAAACGGCCCCTAAAACGAAGAGTTGTTTGCACAGATGAGCAGAGAGTTTTAGGATAACGTGCGATGAGTTGCTGTTCACTCTTGTTCTTCACGGGTGGGGGTGGGTGGGTGTATTCAGAGCCGAAGACTCGTTGTCACAGCTGGACACGCTGTGAAGAGTGTACCGTGCAGCCTAACCCTAACTTCTTTTTTCATCCTGGATATACTGGTCCCACGTTGTTCATCTGACTCGTTCAGGCTGTCACTCCTTTGATTAATGCAGCTTAAAACATTTAATGGATTGAATAAAGGAACTGACATCTCCGTCTTCGACGTCCTCCTCCACTGCACCTGGGCCGAGCCTCGTTCAGAACCGATCCGCCTGGTGGGAGGACAGCTTCTTCTTCTTTCAGGAAAAATAAAAATAAAAACTCAGTTGGTTGTTGTGTGATCAAAGTAAACACAAGCAAACATTATTAAGAACGTTGATTTACCTGCTGTAAATCAGCTACTGATTATCTCGGAGTAAAGTCCAACATCATCCTCGTCGACTCTGTTCTGGTCCACTCAGCGACCGGTGTGGAGCTGTTAGACAAAGCGGTCCGGCATGACGTCAAATCTGTCGACTCATTCAAAATCCAGCTTTAACTTGTTAAGTTGTTGTTAGCTGAGCTTTTAGCACAGAGGAAAGGAGCGGGCCGAGGCAGCACGCATGCGCATTAGGTGAAGGTACAAAATTCACTGCGCCAACTAATGACCCGGCATGGGGTGGGTTGGAATAAGGGTTTATATTCCAGAGTTCGGGCAGCACGTTGGCGCAACTGGTAGAGCTGCTGCCTCTCAGCGAGCAGGTCCTTGGCTCAAACCTCGGTCCAGGGGCCCTCTGGGTGGAGTTTGCATGTTCTCTCCGTGCATGCGTGGGTTAAAAGAGTTATCATATGAAAAAAATGCTGTCAAACATAAATGAGTAAAGGAAAAACATTTTAATGGTTTTACTAAATTCAAATGAAAATGTAAGAAATTAAAAACAAAAAGAAAAATTCACACTAAAATCAATTATTGACGACACATATGAGCTTTTATTTATTACATTCTTTAAAATCAAATTAACACAAATATTAATGCATAATGGTACACGAAGATCACTTTGCATTAAAACAATATGAGAAAGTCAAGATGATATTTTAGGTTTGGGAACTTTGATTGATTCTTTGACAATGTTAAGAGTTCATTGGAGACACTTGAGTTGAATAATTTTAAGGCGTACCTCAAATCCACGGCTTCTTTTGTGTGGCGTGTCCATTCCGGTGACCCACCCTCCTCCTGGTGAGTGACTCACCTCAGCCCTCCGTCAAAAGGGGAAATGGGCCTGGGCCGCCCCAGCCTTCTAGGTTTGACTCAGACAGGACTGCGGTTGGACCAGCTGAGGCTGGGTACAAGGGAGATTCGTCCAGACAGCTCACAGTCTACATCTGCACGTCACACCCTTGTCTCACCAGATGGCTCATCAGATCAAGTAGCCGTGATTCGCTCAGTGACCATGAGGAATCTGTGTTAACGTTCTTTGACCATGGGGAACCTGTGTTAATCCTTGGTGACCATGAGGAACTTGTGTTAACGCTCGTGACCATGGAGAGACCTGTGACAACATTCATTAACCATGGGGAACCTGTGTTAATGCTCATTGACCATGGGGAACCAGTGCTGACGCTCGGTGACCATAGGGAAACCTGTGTTAATACTAGCTGATCATGGGAAAACCAGTGTTAATGCTCATTGACCATGGGGTAACCTGTGCTATTGCTCGCTGATCATGTGGAACCTGTATTGATGCTTGTTGACCATAGGGAAACCTGTGTTAACGCTCAATGACCATAGGGAAACCTGTGTTAACG